TTAAATTAATTTAAAGAATTCTTTACAATTTTGTGATTTGAAATTTTCTATTTGCATTAGAGAAATACTGGACATCTTAAATTTACAACTACAGTATTGCCTCGAAATAACCAACTCGCTGGTCCCGACCGTGTTGCTTATTTCGAGACAATACTGTAGTTGTAAATTTGAGATGTCCAGCATTTCTCTAATGCAAATTTCATGTATGTATGTTTAATTATAGCTGCTGATGTTAAAGTAAACTATAGCTTACTAATGATTTAGTTTTATTTGGCAGGTGGTTGTTCAGCATTTGGACACTCCTGTTTCGGTGGCCATGGCAAGAGGTTCGATCCACACGTACGGAACAACGCACTTCAAGAAAACGAGGCGACGACCAGCGACAAGAACCAGGAACTGGGAACGATGCGTCTGAACGAGTTTGCTCTTCCTATGCGAAAGTTTGAAGGCCAAGGGGAGGTGCTCCTTCCGCAATCGCGTCGTCAGGATCCCTCGAGATTCGATCCTTACACGTTATCCTTCATCGTTGGGCAATGGGTACATAAAATAATTAATCATATTTAACTGCAAGACGAGTTTATTTTAATTTCTACTTGCTTTTACCTAATGCAAGAATTAACTAAATATGGAAGAGGTTCTCATGAATATTTTGAGTAACTACAAAATTTAAAGTAAAACACATACATTTTTCATTTTAAATTAATTTAAAGAATTCTTCACAATTTTTTGATTTGAAATTTTCTATTTGCATCAGAGAAATGGTTGGCATCTTAAATCTACAACTACTTGTATGAAGGAAATTAATATGTTAAATGTCATAGTACTTATTACGAGTACTATGCTCACTGTTATTTCATTTTGTATTATAATATGAATATGAATTCAATAAGAAGTATTTATTCATTTTTTAACTTCATTTTTAAACACAAAAACCATTAAATACATTTGAAAAATTGATAATACAATTAATTTATGTAAAATTTATGTATAATTTATTTATAATTGTTAATTGCAGTTAACGTCGCATCGTCGACTTCATCAGCCGGACCCGGAACTTGATAACAAATAAACGGATAGGCGTTTTTTGTTGCACTTTCAATTTAAAGTTAGACAAGAGAACATGTAACATTGATAAATGCAAAATTGTAAGAAAATTTATTCGTTTGCTACGCTGTTTTCACATATTCTTTCGACAAGCGTAGCCAAAATAAATAATTGAATAATTGTTGGTGATGTGTACATATTATTTTCAGTTGTCTAAACGAATAAACAGAAATGAATTTTGCTATTTCTGCATGAATTTCATTCTGACAATGATGTACAACTATTAATACTTTACTGGAATTATTGTAAGCATAGAGTAGATTGAATAAAATATTATTCCTTCGATATTTGTGTACCTATTTTATTTTTTAGTCACCCATTGACTACGGTACTTGCCCTATTGAATTTTAGTTTACTTTATATTTTCACATGGAACTTTGTTGTATCATGTATATATATATATATAAAAATAGTTAATATCCTTGTCACACATGAATTAAATATATATATATATATATATATATATTTAATTCATGTGTGACAAGGATATTAACTATTTTTATATATATATATATACATGATACAACAAAGTTCCATGTGAAAATATAAAGTAAACTAAAATTCAATAGGGCAAGTACCGTAGTCAATGGGTGACTAAAAAATAAAATAGGTACACAAATATCGAAGGAATAATATTTTATTCAATCTACTCTATGCTTACAATAATTCCAGTAAAGTATTAATAGTTGTACATCATTGTCAGAATGAAATTCATGCAGAAATAGCAAAATTCATTTCTGTTTATTCGTTTAGACAACTGAAAATAATATGTACACATCACCAACAATTATTCAATTATTTATTTTGGCTACGCTTGTCGAAAGAATATGTGAAAACAGCGTAGCAAACGAATAAATTTTCTTACAATTTTGCATTTATCAATGTTACATGTTCTCTTGTCTAACTTTAAATTGAAAGTGCAACAAAAAACGCCTATCCGTTTATTTGTTATCAAGTTCCGGGTCCGGCTGATGAAGTCGACGATGCGACGTTAACTGCAATTAACAATTATAAATAAATTATACATAAATTTTACATAAATTAATTGTATTATCAATTTTTCAAATGTATTTAATGGTTTTTGTGTTTAAAAATGAAGTTAAAAAATGAATAAATACTTCTTATTGAATTCATATTCATATTATAATACAAAATGAAATAACAGTGAGCATAGTACTCGTAATAAGTACTATGACATTTAACATATTAATTTCCTTCATACAAGTAGTTGTAGATTTAAGATGCCAACCATTTCTCTGATGCAAATAGAAAATTTCAAATCAAAAAATTGTGAAGAATTCTTTAAATTAATTTAAAATGAAAAATGTATGTGTTTTACTTTAAATTTTGTAGTTACTCAAAATATTCATGAGAACCTCTTCCATATTTAGTTAATTCTTGCATTAGGTAAAAGCAAGTAGAAATTAAAATAAACTCGTCTTGCAGTTAAATATGATTAATTATTTTATGTACCCATTGCCCAACGATGAAGGATAACGTGTAAGGATCGAATCTCGAGGGATCCTGACGACGCGATTGCGGAAGGAGCACCTCCCCTTGGCCTTCAAACTTTCGCATAGGAAGAGCAAACTCGTTCAGACGCATCGTTCCCAGTTCCTGGTTCTTGTCGCTGGTCGTCGCCTCGTTTTCTTGAAGTGCGTTGTTCCGTACGTGTGGATCGAACCTCTTGCCATGGCCACCGAAACAGGAGTGTCCAAATGCTGAACAACCACCTGCCAAATAAAACTAAATCATTAGTAAGCTATAGTTTACTTTAACATCAGCAGCTATAATTAAACATACATACATGAAATTTGCATTAGAGAAATGCTGGACATCTCAAATTTACAACTACAGTATTGTCTCGAAATAAGCAACACGGTCGGGACCAGCGAGTTGGTTATTTCGAGGCAATACTGTAGTTGTAAATTTAAGATGTCCAGTATTTCTCTAATGCAAATAGAAAATTTCAAATCACAAAATTGTAAAGAATTCTTTAAATTAATTTAA